CATTAACTCATAAATAAGTTTTAGAACAATTCTAAAATCTTACTTTACTTTGGCTAAAGATTTCTCTAGTTCATTTAACCAAAACTAGTTGAGATACTCTTTTAATTACATAAATTATTTCACATAGTATCTTGCTTATTTTTTTTTTTCTTTTTTTTTTCCCAAAATGCACCGTGTAAGTGCTTATCAAATACAAATTTTTTTCACTTTCTTATTCTTTTTTTTTTCTCTTTTTTCTCTACTATCTCTTTTTCTTTCATTTCTCTCTAAATACTTTTCTTACAGCCACCACACCAATCCAGATTTCGGAATGTTACAATTGTGTCACCTACTATGACTGTTCATTGATAGTTATTTTTTCCCAAAGAATCATTAAAAAATCTTCTCAACCTCTTATTTCTTCCTATCTAGCTAGATTTCTTACAAAAAATAACTATAAAAGCTTATATCTACCAAAACACTATGGCCTTCATCTTTTTTTTTACTGCTTTTTAATGCTAAAATATCTAACACCATTTCCTATTTCCTTTCTCTACCTATTTCGATGTGTTTGTCACCATGTCTTGACCATGTCTAAACTTTTTTATTTGTTACTATGTCTTAATATGTGTCCATGTTGGACATAGATACAACACAAGTACAAAGGTTTTCTAATATATCCATGCTTATTAGGTTTTTACCTAACTAATTTTTTTTTTCTATTTTTTGTTTGCAATTCTCAATTCACTGCTGGTACCACGTCCATTACAGAAGTAGTTGATTTCTTTATTTTTTTTTCCTTTAATGATCAAGTAATTGAACAAGCAATGCTATTTAATTAAGGCATTAGATTTGTTGTGGGATAGTTTATTGAATAAGATATTTTCATGATTTTTCTTATTATATACTACATTAGAAGTAGATCAGATTTGCCCATAATGGATAACCCAACCCAAAATAGAAATTTCCATGGACAGTTTATCTTGTTTGAATTCAAATAAGAAACTCCTTTGATAGTTGATATATTGTTTGAATTCAAGCACAAAATAATCACTTGCCTATTTTTTTTTTATGAATATGGCATTTGGCCATATTGAAAGAAAAAAAAATAGAGAGATAGTGGAATAAAAACCAAAGAAGAAAAGGAAATAGAATGAATAGGGAAAAGGAAAGGAAATGTTCATATACTTTTCGCAATTGAAGTGTAGGATTTATGATATGAACAACATACAATTTTTCATTTTGTTATTTAATTCTTGACTAGTAAATCAAGTCGACAATATTTCACAATCCCATAAGTATTTAAATTTTGCAAATGATATCTTAATTATAGTTATAACTTGATAACCATGGAAAAAATCTCATTTTGCCCACTAAATGTTTTTTCTTTTGGAAGGAGGAATAGAATTTGTTAGAAATATTTACAAAAAATAATATGATTAAGAAAAAACTTAATCAAAGATAAATCATACTAAGCTATAGAATAGCTTAAATAAGGTTCCAAATATCAATAATATGATTTTAGAATTAAAAAATCTAAGAAGACTACTATGCACATAGGAGTTAACTGCTTTAGACTTTCAAGAAGAAAGTTCACTATTAAAGGCATGAAGTTGACTACTTTGAAAAACAGAAACAAAATAGTTTATGTATAAAATAACAATCAACTGGCAGTATAGGGCAATCGACTACTATATCTAGACATAGGCCTATCAATTCCTAACCTTAATGGAACCAATTGTTATTATTTAAAAAGTCTTCTAAATATTGGTTTAAGCATAATACCTGACTATTATTAAAGAGAAGTCAACTATTATTAAAGAAAAGTTGATTACCCTAATAATGGAACCATTCTGGCAATGAAAAAAGTTGACTACTATATGAAACAGTCAACTACTCATGTGACGATGCATTTTGTAAATTGAAAGGAGTTGATTACCCTACTTCAGATAACATTCTAGAAAATGAAAATACAAAAGGGCAATCAATTATCGTATAGAATGAGTTAACTGCTCTACATGAAAAGTCACATTTTCTAGAGAAAAGTAGTTTCTCTTGTTATGAAAAGTTTGATCAAATTAATGAACCAATTCTTCTTTAATTATTCAAAAGGATATCTTTCTTATCACATGAAGTGATCTTTGATTAAAACAATACAATCAAAGAGTCATAATCTTAAGATTCAATCTCTATAAATAAAAGTTGTTGTAGGTTCCTTTGACGCATTCAAAAGTTCATTTTTTTCCTTTTCTCCCATTCTTTCACAAATAAAGGCTTATTTCTTTAGCATTTTTTGTTGCAAAAAACTTTGTTAAAGATAAAATATTTTTTCTCTCATCAAGTGAATTTTAGTGGTTCAGTTTTGCTAATTCAAGGTAAATCAAACATAGGTTTCATTATATCTTGGAGGCATTTTGATTCAACCTCTTTTACATATGTCATTTGTAATGGCGAAATAAGCTTTAAAGACAGTGGTATTAGTAGAACACCTTGAAGCTATTTTCATTCTTCATTGAAAGTTCCATTTTATTTTACTCAATGTGCAAAAGGAAATGCTAAAAAAGATTACAAATTCAACAACAAAGTACACATTGTTTTTTGTAATTTTAAGCCTTGTAATTTTCTAAAAGAACTCACTTTGCATATATTAAATATCAAATGAGACATTCATATGTCCAACTCAGAGATAATTGAGACAATATATTTTAAACTTTTAGTACAATATTATTAAAAAGTTTCTTTTTTTAAAAAAAAAACTTATCAGATTCAAAATGGCTTTTACATTATTTTTTCATCTTTTTATTATTAATTTTTTGTGTGAAATTTAATTTTTAATCCAATAGCAACAATTGTTATTCACGATAGAAGTCAAGGACCTACTAGAAGAAAATCACAAATCAATCACTATCTTACAAGCAAATCAAGTGTACTCCTCTCCAAAGAAATTTGCTCTTCTTTTTCTATTGTTTAAGTTAGTTGCTAAATAATTTTGATGATCGATTAAGTAACTATTGCCTATTTATATAGGACATAAAAAAAGTTAAGGAATAATATGCATGGATCTTTCGGAATCTAAATATTTTGATCAAAGGTCATGTCATGTCATAAATAATATTTTAGTTAAAAAAATTCTTTTTAAGCTTATTTTCTTGAATTAATTAAAAAAACTCATTTACCCCAATAAATATATTTCCAACTCAATATTCCAACAGAATATATATTCATTTATGCACATATTCTCAATAAGGTAAATTCATGTAAGCTCATCAAGGCAAAATTTGTCCAACAAAATAATGTCTCCCCTTTTTGTCATAGCAAATGGAAATCAAGGCACATAAAATGTCAAAAGCATGTAATTTTAAGCATAAAATCCAGAATGTCCAAGTAATAAGCACAATTGTAGCAATGTATTCAGTTCAAGAATTTTAGCACAATAAGAACAAAGGCACAATGAGATATTTATTAGTAAAGAAATAAAGGATTTAAAGAGCATATTTTCGGGCTATGTCCTCTTATATACCAAAAAAAGAGAGCATAAGGCACCTAAACAACCACTATTGCAAAGGGGTCAATTGACCTCAATAGTAGATTAGGGGCCAAACTAACATATTTTAATAAGTTGAGTGCCAAAAATGTCATTATGGCTTTGAACTAAGAAATTGTAGGAATGCATTACATTAGACTCCTTTTATTTCACTAATTTTCTTGATGAAAATGGTAGCTGATAACAAAATTTAACCAAATGATATTCGGGGCAGGAAAAAATTCAATTCATTCTTCAATGCAAAAATGTTGTTATGAAAAACCCAACCTTTTGGGCAAGGTAAGAAAACCTTAGTTACAAATGCAAAAAAAGCATATAAAGAGGCGCAAGGACTATGTTGGTAAAGTTAACTATTTTTTTTCTTAATAATTTTTTAAATGTGTATGAATAAAGTCTTCTTTCTTCCTTTCGATAAAAAAAAGTTTATTTTCTTCTTTCCTCTATTTGCTTATTGATTCAAACGAAAAAAACTTTTTGAAATTCTTGAAAACCAAGTTTCTTTGTCATGTCAACATTAACTTTCAATGCATTCAGAAACCACTTATGATAATTAAGTACTAATAATTATAAAATAGTGGTACAATTGCCATGCATTATTAGGCTTTCATTGTATTGGATTAACTTTACAGATCACAGCACGTGTTTCAGCTAGCATGCGTCTCTTTCTGCCACAGTACTTTCACTCACCTTCATTTTTTTCCCAATAGCCAGAGAGAATGTTATGACATGACATTGCTTTTATAAATCTCCTCTATTACTTTGACAATCGTTCAATCAATAATATTATATATCCAAAACATCAGTTTCATTTGTAATCAAGGTTTATATGTATCTTAAAGAACAAATATTTGGGTTCCTTGTATATAAATTGTACTTATATATAAATATATATATATGTTTGTTTTTCATCACAATATGAATTAGGGAAAGCCTTCATCAGATAATAAAGAAAATTAGAAACTTCGTACGAGGCTTATATATCTTCAATTTGTCTTCACCATTATAGTGGAAAAGTTTTATAACAGATACCGTGTTGTGTTAAAAGAGCAAAAAATCTCTCCAATTCATATTCTTAGTCACTTCAACTTCGAAATCATTCAAATCTAATTCCCATTTTCAGGTCCCCTTATTTCAACATATCATCACAGTCTAAAACAGACCTACTTCAGAACCCTTCATTGGGGAAGGAAGCAAAACAAAGTCTTATTCTGTCAACATTAATCTTTCTGTAATGTTGTCTTAAATATTGTTGTTTTGTTTCTTCATTGACAAATCCAAACATGGTCCAAATGAATTTTAGGGCAACCATTTCAAATCCCTACAACTTCCCAATGCACCCATTCCATGAAATGTAACAGCACAACAAGAAAGACAGTTTTCTGAATAAAAACAATAAAAACGTTTCCCAATTTCCATCAAAACTACAGAACCTAAGCATATCCCCACCTTTTTCTGATTTTACATACATAGGAAATTAGTTGAAAAAAAGTAGGGTAAATAAATATCCGTTGGGTTTTAGTTCTTCAAGAAAGGAATTCAAAAAACTGGTAAGGAGTGAGGTTGGCAGTCACGGCTGCAATTGATATCTCATTTTCTTTCTCCTTAGAGTTATGGGTACCGACGCCGCTACGAACAGGGAAGAGTTGTAGAGTTTGAGAATCCCCAGGAGCATCGTCCTGGTTTCTGGCAGTGTTCAAGTGGTCAAGGACATTGCCATTTTGTCTGCTGCAGGGAGCTAGAAAGATGTTGAGATTATGAGTCTTAATGAGCTGCTGCTGCTTTGAGTCCATTGTTCTTATTGCTGTTGGTATTGACGCTGTGGTGATGGTGGAGGCAGTGCTAGTCGCTGCTGCTGTTGCTGTGGCTGTAGTAGAGTTAAAAGGGAGGCAAGAGTAAGACAGCTGCATCTTCTGCCACGTGCCATTCCTTTCTACAAAGTTCCTTCTCTGCTGTAATTCTCCTTCCTCGAATTGGATCCATCCATCTGCTCCACTTTCTGCCACTGTTGCTTTGGCTGCCGCGTGTATTGGAACAGGTTCCTGAAAATTAAAAACCATGAAATCCTAAATACATATAAACAAATAAATAAAAGATGATGTGCACTCCTCTTTTTTGTCATGAATCTAAGTTATTGCATTGCATTCAAATCAAAAGACAGATGGTCCACGTCTGGGTGGGACTGGATTGGCAATTCCTACTACTGTGGTCAGCCAAGTCTTTTCACTGTTAGGATGCCCTAGAATATTTTTGAGAGTTTCTATTTGCATTTCCAATTTTTTCTTCACATGATTTTTTTTCAAATTTATTTTAAATAAAATTATTTAATTATCTATTCTCAACTAATCTTTCTTATTTTTAAGTTTCCAAATTTTGTAAATTCAGAAATATTTAAAAGTTTTCAATATTGTAGATTCGGAAAGTTTTTAAAAACTGTTTAAATTCATATATCCAAGAAATTTTAAAAATTTCTATCTCAAATTATTGAAATAAAAAAGAAATATAAAGATGCATATTCTGTAATCGGGGTACTTTTTCTATTAAAATTATAATTTTTGTTTATCAATTTGTAAATGAGCATATATTATTTGAACAAATCATATTTTTTTTATAATATTGTGAAAGTTTTTCACAATGTAAGAAAGTTTTTTACAATGTAAGATTTTTTCTTCAATTGAATTTTTGAGTTTTGTTGGAAATTGGAATCTTAAAAAATTAAATAAAATATTCTTTGTTAGATTAGGATGATATTGATTGGATGAATTTTTTTGAAACCCTAAATATATATTTTTATAAATTTATTAAATATTTATATCCGATAAATTATATAATTTATCGAATTTGAAAATTTAATAAATTATATAACTTATATATATATATATATGAGAATATTTACTTACTGCATAACACACTGGAATACTTTTAAAATTGGAATGAATTGGACATACACATTTCAAAAACTTTTCAAATTAAAATAAGAAATAATAATTATATAATTTCGCTTAAAAAAGTTTAAAGAAAAAGAATATAGAGATAAAACGGAGGCACCCAATATTTTTAAAGGTGAGGTGCTCAAATCAATACCTAGCCTAAATGCCATGAATGAATATCAAGCACAGGATCAAAAAAAACATCAGCAAGTTTCATAGCAGCAGCCCGACGAAAGAGAATGCGGCTTTTAACCATTTTCGTTCCAACAAACAATAGTTTTGTTGTTTCCTTGGATCTTTTCCTTATTATAAAATAAAATAATAAAACCTTGATCTAAACCTAAAAAAATGAATAGTGAATAAGCAGATCATCTTTGCTTAATTAGTTGCATGTTTAAATCTTTTTATGGGCTAAAGCGTAAGAGAATTTAAGTTGACAAATAATTTTAAGATTGAGGGGTTGTTTGTAATGTTTTCATTTTCTGTTCTTTGTTTTTATTTTTAATTTTTTTGAAAATTTAAACAAAAACGTATTTGATAATTTGTTTATATTTTCTGTTTTAAAACTAAAAATAAAATTTTAAAAAGTTTTTAAAATTGTTGAAACTAAAATGATGTTTTCTAAATTTTGAAAACAATTTTGGTTGGTGTTGGCCAGAATCAAACCTCTTCCTTTTAAAAGGTCAAAGCTTTAATCACTTTTTCTTATATATTTTTGTTTTCATATTTTTACAATAAAAAATTCTACCCAAACATATTTTTAAATTCCATAAATTAAAAATAAAACGAAAATAAAATATAAAATTTTCAAAAATATAAAACATAAAATACATAACAATATCAAATGACCCATGAATAAATGAAAATATTGATTAATGAGTTTAAAAATAACGATGTTAATAAAATTAATTATTATAATGATGAAATTAAATATTATAATTATAAAATTAAAATATATAATTTCATTTGCATGTGATGCAAATGCCACCGTAATTGTAAAATAAAATATAATAGAAAAAATTGACTATTAAAAATATTATAGTAAGATATGTATATAATAATTTAATATTTGTAAAATTAATAAATAATTTAAAATTATAAAAAATTAGTGGACAAATAGGGTTGACACGTCTTAATTGAGCCAACTGCGTCACACCGATTAAATCCAACACCCCGTCAAATGCGATTGAATAAAAAAATGCTGAAATCGCACCAAGACGGGTGCTATCGGATCCAAATCCAGCCTTAATGAGCTGTGTATATGACCATGATGAAAAACAAAGAAAGGATAGTGAAAAAAAAAATAATAATAATAATAATAAAACAGATAGATATAGACCTCTGCTAGTGTACTGCAGTTTGTAGGTGGTGCCCAGTTCTTGGTATGTTCAACTTCATAACCTGTCCTCTCTGCTCCTGTAGACAAAAGGAAAAACAAAAAAAGAATTCAACTTTACATCTCTCTAAACAAACAAATGGAATGGTGAAAACTAAAAAATCATGGTGAAAACTAAAAAATCAATCTCATATCACATCTCTAACAACAAATGGAATGAAAAAAGCAACTCGTATCTGATATCTCTAAAAAAGAAAAAGCAAAAGTCCATACATATCAAACAATATTTAATTATCTTTCCACACCAATATATTTATAAATATATCTGCAATGTGCAATGCAAAGATTAAGATTATTGCATTTGTTTTTCTCTATCTTACTATATATACATAAACCTGAATCTTTTCTTCCAAAGATATCGGCGTCTCGACTGTGCTCATCATGAGCTGATTCCATTTGTCGGCGACGTTTTTGCCGTTCCCTTGCCTTGTGGTTTTGAAACCAATAGAACACATTCTTTCCTTCTATCTTACCATATCTACGCAGCTGTGCTGTTATATGCTGAATTTGATCTGCTGATGGGGTTCGAGTGCCTCGTCTATAAAGTTCTTCGAGGGTTCTTAACTGCTCCGGCGTTGGGTTCCACCTTGAGCTGACCACAACAGCTGGTTGTGTATTGAACTCCCTCTTGTTTTGATCTCCCATACCTGTTTTTAAAATGGAAAATGATATGAAACCTATGCATAGAGCCATGACGAAGAAGAAATTCAGGAA